CCCTGTGAGGTCCCTGCTCACACCACAACATTCTCCCCTGTGAGGTCCCTGTTCACACTGTAATGTCCTCCCATGAAGTCCCTGTTCACACTGTAACGTCCTTTTTCAGTGTGGTCCCTGTTCTCACTTTAACGTCCTTTCAGTGAGGTCCCCATTCAAACTATAATGTCCACATCCAGTGAAGGTCCTATTCACACTTAAATGTCCACACACTTAAATGTCCTCTCCCAGTGAGGTCCTTGTTCATACTGTAATGCCCTTTCTAGTGATGTCCTTGGGTTCCTATTCATGATATGAAGTCCTTGGGGACCTTATTTCTACAAATGTCCACTTCCAGAAGAAGCACTTAGTACAGAATATGCAATCTGGATGTATGTGAATAACAAGTAATCAGCCATACAAGTTCCAGAAGACCAACAGAGGTGTTCACAAAAAAAAAACAAAAACAAAAACAAAACAACAAACCATACATTTCCATTTTCTTGTTATAAAGAGCTCTGACAACCCACAGTTTCTTACCTACCAGCAGCTCTGAAGAGGAAGATAGGGAATCTCCTCCCATGTAATTTACAGCCTCTGAAAATCCACTGAAGGTCAGAAATGAGTGAGTTCTGATTCAGTGGCAATGAATTTGACTTTTACTTTTGTTACAGTTACAGAAAGAAGCCCTGGTGGTGCAGCAGTCTATATTCTGGCCTGCTAGTCCTCAGATCAGTGGTTCAAAGCCACAAGCTGTTCTATTAGAAAATTATGAGAAAGGCTGTTCTCCTAAGATTTACAATTCAAATTTCTGATGGTCTATCTCCATCAGTCACAACGTCCTGGATAGGAGTGTTCCGGTTAGTTTTTATAAACATTTTTAATGTTTTGGTTTTTTAAAAAAAATACGGAGGATAACAGTTGTCAAAGGATTGTAGTTGTTTGGTGCCATCAAGCTGGAAACAACCCGTAAGCTGATCCTCCAGCAGGTTTTCAAGAGGCAGCTTAATCCCATAGGAAGAGATGCCCATGCTTCTCCTGCAGAGCAACTGGCAGATTCGAGCTTTATGCCTTTAGCATTGTAGTGCAGCTTCTGAGCACTGGGCTGCCAACAGCATCTTGTTTTAAAGGGTCATTTTTGTTGTGTTCCATCAAGTCGGAACTGACTCATTACTGACTCTCCAGTGGGTTTTCAGAGGCAGTAAATCACATGAGAGATTACCCATTTTTCTCCTGTGGAGTAGCGGGGGGGGGGGGGGGGGGGGGGGGATTTGAACCACATATCTTGCATTGACAATGTACTGACTTACCATTAAGGTACCAAAGCTCCCTAAAATTTTAAAGAGTAGCAACAGTAAGTAAAGAAATGCTTCAGGGGAGGACTAATGGCGTCACAGCCTTGGACAGCACCTCAGGGGCATCTGGGAGAGCACTGGTTAAATGTGGCGTGTGTGCCTAGAGAGTGAGTGCCCACTGCCCAAGTCATGGCAACGTAGTGCCAAGTGTCACTGTACTGACCAACGGACACTGGGTGTACTTTCATCTTTTTATTATAAAAACAAGAGTTTTACGAAACAATGCATATAAGACAAATCAGGACATGGTGAGTTATGAACCCATATTCTATATACAAATACTAAAATTCCCAAAGTGGAATATCACCCAATGTGAAGCACATTATAGCACGTCCCATATGTACACGCACAGTGACCCCGGCCACCTCTGAGCCTCCATACACGCCAGGGACAGAGGCCTGCAGGCCTCATCTGCATCCCCTCTGGCACCCAGCAAGATGTTTCTAAGGTACGTCAGAGAGGAATCTCGCAGAAGGCCTTTGCCCACAGGGCCCTGGCTTCCTCTGACTGACTGCCCGGCCCGGGGCAGGGGAGGACCCCATTTACAGTGGGAGAGGAGACAACACTTGTAGCTTTTCTAAGCAGATTCAATTTTCCTATTCAATCACGTGAGCACAATTGGTGGGGGACCAAATCACATTTCATATTAGTAAATGCATTATAAAATGTCACTCAAATTTAAAAAGCCACTAAAAGGACACTTTCTGCAGCAAAAAAGGGCTAAGTTCAAGTTTCCGCCTTCTGACTGTGAGCAGCGTCGTGGACCGTTAACAGGTTCCACACATATGTGACTGGGAGCCGAGGAACAAGAGCAACCGCCCCTCCTACCCACGCACGGTGAGAACGCCTCTGGTTCTTTCACCTGACGCCTTCTGTCCCCGAGAAGTTCTGGTCTGGGCACTCAGATGATGTGAAGGCACTTCTAGGACACAGAGAGTGGGCCTAGCCTTGCTCCTCCGTGCACAGGGCGCCGGCCTCCTGCAGGGAGGTGAGGATGGCAGCCGGCACGCTCTGGGATGCCTCCTTCCGCCAGGTCTCCAGGATCCTCGATATCCCTGTCGGGTTGCTGGGGCTCAGGTCACAGAGCGCGTAGACAGCGGCCAGCTGCACACCCCAGGGGATGTCTGAAAGGAGTGCAAGAGTCATCAAACTAGGAGGGAGTGGTCACACAAAATGCTCATTTTATGCTCTATTAAGACAGTGTTCAACTGTGGGATGCTTTTCTCCAGCAATGGGAAACACGAAGACACACGTGCATGCACACGCTCACGTACAGCTACAAACAGCAGAGGAAAGTGACTGGGACACCACCCAGTCTCAAAGCCACTGTTCCTCAAAATGGACAGTGAACTTTGAAGCAGTCGGGAGGAGCACTGCTCCAAGTTTATTTACATCCTAACAAACACCCCGCAGCTCTGGCCCCCACAAATGTCCCAGGGAAGTCCCCAAGTGGACAACAGCTTTTCACTGGATTTATATTTGTAAATGCATCATGGTCCTAGGGATTCATTAAATATGTAAAACTAATGGCTTTCCGAGAATTTCTGAGCTTCCCCTGGGTTTGTAAGCAATCTCACAGACACAGGGTTAGCAAAGATGCTGGCTTCTGCAGATAGCTATTAACATTCCACAGTGGTAATTTTTGTTACTGTTATGTGCTTGTGACTCATAGCAACCCTGTGTACAACAGCTCTGAACCAATCTTACTGTCTCTGACACACCTACCCCCATTACCCCAGGAGTGAGTTAATCCCTCTTTGGGTTGGCAGCACAGCTCCTTAACACTAGGCCATTAGATGTCATCAAGTTGTTTCTGACTCAGTGACTTCATATATCCCTGCCAGCCCTGTGCCATTCTCACCTACCTGAAGCATAGACAAGTGTCGTTCCCTAAGCCACTGTGTGGAACAAAGCAGGTATGTGTGTTTATACAGGGAAAACACCTGAACCTTCCCAGACACACAAAAATCATTATCAGGTAACTCAAAGAACCTGACATTGCACCAGTGGGTTGTGTTCATACACAAGCTGATGGCCACGTCAGCTTGAAGCTAAGGTGCCGCAGGAGGGACCTGCCCAGGGACCCCATTCTCGCCACTCGGGTGTGCCTGCCTGGGCTCTCCATGCCGCAGAACAAAGGCAGAGAGCCACTCTTGCTGTTCATCCTTTTTCATAAAAAAGAAATTGCTCTTCAGTTTCCTTTTGGTCAGTGGACATAGGGCCACACGGAGGTCCTCTGCAAGAGCAGAGTGATGCCAAACAAACTTCAGGAAAGGAGGAACGCCTGTCCTTTTTTGCTGTGTGGCCACGTCAAGGCTGTGCACCCACACACCTCCAAGCAGCAGGGGGGCAGCAACCAGCAGAACCGATGAAAGCACACTCAACGTGGCTCCTGCTTCGTCACTCAGGAGACCAGGATGCTGCCGCCTCGAGGAGGTGCCCACCCTGGGAAGGCAGCGGCCTATGTGGGTCACCATCAACTGAATGTGGAGTCCACTTTCACATGGAAGAAAGGTGCCCCACAGAAGCCATCCAGAGATGAAGCAGCACTTTCAGAGCATGATTCTGACTGTTCTTGGTCAATGGACACAAGTCTCACCCTGTAGCTGAAGACAGTGCAGCCAGGTGAGACAAGTGTGGACACCTCGTGGGGGTGGGGGAGTGGCTTCTATGTGACTCCCTAATTGCATAAGACTTCAAACAAAAGCTGGAATCCTCTGGTACAAGGACCACTTTCAATCAAGCTTTCCCCACAAAGAGATAAGAAATTACATGTAGTGTACGTCATGCTCCATGTGGCATTACATATTGTAATCCTGTAATGTGAAATGACATGCTCGGTGACACACGGACTACGCAGAGTCACGGTGAGCAGTTATGTTCACTGCTTCCAGGTTTCAAGTGTCCCTTGATGAAGGGTCTCAGGGTCTCACTGTGCCTGCCACATGAGCACCACCCAGAAGGCCCAGGACCACTCAGTGTGGGAACCAGAGCACAGAGGCACGCACTCACAGGCATGCTGCCGAGCAGGGGGTGCGAGCTACAGTGTGCACACTCCGGTGGGGAGCCTTGTGCTCGTCACCCCACAGTGTCCACAGCAGTGTACCCGTGAGAGGGACCCAGGAGCTGAAAACTCACTGTAGAGACAAGGTGGGCATACCTTCATTGTGCGCGTGCTGAATGAACATTCCAATCACAGAGCTAATATTCTTCACAGCGGATGGAAAGCCTTCCTTCAGACCCAGCTGGCCCAGGCGCCCTAGGAGAATAAAATGCCCATTTCAACAATCTTCAGTTAATACTGATCAATTTTCCTGAGAATCAAGGGTATTTTCTTCTGTGTGAGATGACAAAATTAACCCTAGATCCTACAACAGTAAGCCAAGGCTGACACCCATCTCCAGGTTAAGTGAGGAAAGCCTGAGACAGCCCAGGACCTCTTCCTGGGCGATCAGCCTCACTCGAGCACACTGTCCTGTGCATGGGTGCCTGGCTCTCCTGCAGGGCTGCACAAGGGGAGAGTAAGTGCAGGGTAGATGGGGACTGGAGGGCTTTCATTACATAAGCGGATCATTCTAAAATGAAGGACCCAACAGAAGTCTACTGTGGGTATACTATCTGACAAGTCAAAAGCATATGAGATGAAGTTTCACTAAATTTGCCTCTAATAAGCATTCTGGTTGTACTTCCTACAAAACAGAGCTATTTTTTTCTTTTAGCAGTTCATGGGATATTACTCTTCACCAACATCATGATTCAAAGCAACAATTCTTTCATTCACTGTTCAACTTTCAGACGCATAGGAAGCAATTAAAAATATCATGGCATGGATCAATCAGGGCATCTTACTCTTTAAATAGATATCATTGCTCTTTAGCACTTAGGAGATCTCCTTGACAAAAGAGTTCCCCAATGCAACATGTTTTGTTTTAAGTTTTCTTTGTGGTGTTGACTCAGGATCCAAGTACACTGAAATGACCCAACTTTTAGATATACAGGAAGCAATCTTGAAGCACTTACTGAAGAAGATCAAAGGTTATAGCCTACAATATGGGTTATGTCTCACCATCAAGAAAACAAAAATCTTCACCACTAGTGCAAAAGAGAACATTATAATAGATTGAAAGGAAAAAAAAATTATGTTTTCAACTATTTCATTTTATTCAGATCTACAATCAACACTCATGGTTGCAGTTGTCAAGAAATCAAAACCTATGCTGCAATGGGAAACAGAAAGGATGTCAATTTAAAGGCTGAGGTGTGTCTGATCCAAGCCGTTTGATTTTTAACTGCTTCTGATGCATCTGACAACTGTTATGCAAAGGGTCCACAGACTTCAGGGGGTCCACCAGGTCAAAGGCACAACCATGATTATGAGGATCTCTGCACTCTGCTCTGTGTGGCCTGTAGACCGCGCCATGTCCCACCCACAGGATTTATTCCAGAATGAGAGGTCACAATGCCACCTTCCCTTCAGCATATGACAGACAGAGCTGCAGCATTGACTGTTACTGAGGCCTGACCCATGCACCCACTTCGGGCATGTTCTGGAAGCTGGCTGACATACATCGAGCCCAGAGAGCATCTAGAGGGTTTTCTTGTGCTGAGGGGCACTGTCACCTCCTCCATGGACACCATACAGTACCAAAATATAATCAGTTGCCTCCTCCTGTTCAGATGCCTTCCCCAAAATGAACAGGGTGATGCAGCCACAAATCTGCTTATGCAAAGTGAAGAAGACCTGAAGCACTTAGTGAAGATCAGAGACTAGAGCCCTTAGTATGGATAGCTGTTGTTATGTAACATCAAGATGGAACTGACCCTCCAGCAGGTTTTTAGAGACAGTAAAACAAATAGTGGGAGACTGCCCATCATTCACTCTCCTGAAGCAATAGGTAAATTAAAAACGTGTGCCTTTGATGGCAGCACGCTTCTTACCACGAGGCTACCCGAGCTCCCTCAGTATGGACCACATTACAACATAAAGAACAAAAAATTCCTGACAACTAGACCAATAAACAACAGCATGGCAGATGGAGAGATGACTGAAGTTGTCAATGATTTCACTCTTACTTGGATCCACAATTAACACCTATGGCTGCAGTTGTACAAGAAATCAAGACACGATGCATGGAGGAAATTTGCAATTCAAGATAGTCCAGGAAGCAGTGTGTGCTGCAGCCGTGGGGAGAAGTGCACAGAACAGGCCCTGCACATCCTGGAATGGTTCTGAACCCACAGAAAAGTGGAGACACACAGCAGCCTGACTGTCCTCTCATGACCGTCAGCCTGCTTCCTGTTCCTGTCACCACTCCAGAACCTCAAGAGGGGAGCTAGCCGTGCCAGTGCCCACTCAGCCTGCCCCGCACTGCCCCCACCTCTGAGCTATATTCATGCATTTTAGTATTACCAGTTAAGATACAATGTTCTTCATTTTATATTATTCTCAATTACTTTTAGAACACAACAACAAATCATTATATTACAACTCTTAATTTAGAGGATATTGGTGCTACTTTAAATATCACACATAATTAAATGTTAGAAACTACCAGGTATTTTTCAGCAGCTAGAAATGTACAGAATTAAAGCTTCAGCCAGGCTGGGTTTAGACCCACGAGCGGGCTCCTCCTCAGGCATGCACGTGCGCTGCCCACCAGACCTGCCAGAGCCCTCGGGGCGTGTGTGTGCCGTCCACGCCCACGATGTACATGCTGCATGCTCCAGGAGCTGCCTGTCCTCACTACCCACAGGGATCTTGGGCAGAGGGAGCTGCCTGTCCTCACTACCCACAGGGATCTCGGGCAGGGCCCAGCCAGAATCCCAGGGGCCGGAGCCTGACACTCTGTGCTTCAGAATAGCCTCTCAACAACTTCTTAACACACATCACACATTTTGAAAACCTAAGTGAAAATCACATGAGGGGTGAAACCTCACCAAGGGCAAGTCTGTCAGGGAACACAGAACACCACCCACTGTAGCAGCCAACATCACCCACAAACACCAACTCACCCGTTACAACAGAGACCTAACAGAGAGCCACCACTGCAGTGAGCCACAGCTGAGCTTCAATGGTGACTTCAAAACATAGCACAGGCACCTGAAATTTAAGATTACTTCATCTAAGTCAGCATGGGTATCTATAGACATCACACATCTCTCCTGCTTATTTCAACTGCCAAAACGACTTATCCATTTGGAAGGATTCAGCCCAAGGTAAAAATGTTTGTCCTCAGTCCCTAAGAGAAACTGTTTTTGACATGAGAAGGCTGGTCAGTCAGTAGTCTGTGACCAGGGGCTCTAGTTTGGTCCTCTGTTCATGTGCCCCCTCCTTGTTCATAAAAGTGCCTTCAACAAAGGAACCCTAGTCAACTTTTCAAAGGTTCCTTGAAAAACACATGTCAGTCAGGCCAGGCCATTTTCTCAGAGTAGTGTAATTATCCCATGTGTACCCTCCCCTCACAGAGGCTAATGAGGCCAGATTAGGGCAGTCATACGATGATGTCATCATCCTCCTGGAGAGATCTGAGATCTGATCAAGAAAATGGCTGGGAGGGGCTCGGGGCAGGATGATAGTCTTAGGCCACACCCCTGATCAGATCAAAGGGGTGTATCTTGTTACATTTTCTTATGAGAAATAAAAAGTTAGTGGGGACCTCAGTATCACAAAGAAAGAACTAGGAACAGAGTAGGTTATTTGGAAACTGGTCCCTATTCTAAGAAACTGCAAGACAGGAAAAACTGGACTGATGTCTGCAGAAACAAGGAGCTCACTCCAGAAAAGACACAGAAAGCAAGCCTTCTCTGAGAGGGGGCCCCTTGAATATGGACTTGTAACATCCTAAATCGTGAGAGAATAAACTTTCTGTAGAAGAGTCTTGAACATACCATGGACTGCCAAGACAACAAACAGGTCTGTCTTAGAGAGGGTGAAATCAAGTTTCTCCTTGAAGCCTTGGATTCTGAAGCTCCATTTCACTTAATTTGAGCACGTGGCCAGGAGAGTCCAGTCCTTGGAGAAAGATATCATACTTGGAGGGGAAGAGGGACAGCTTAGGAACGGAAGACCCTGGATGAGATGGATTGATACAGTAACTAGGGCAATGGGGTAGGTGTGACAGTCACTGAGACTGGCTCTGCACAGGGCAGGCTTCAGAGCTGCCGTACATAGAGTTGCTATGGGGTGCAGGAGACTTGACAGCACATAACAACAAAGAATTGCTTCCTCTGAATTGCAGTGTTGGCCATAACTGAATATACCATCAACTGTGAAAACAACAAACAAGTATCATGGAAGAAATTCAGCCAGGAGGCTCCTTAGAGGCAGAGATGGTGAGACTTCTTCACGTATGCTCACGTCACGTTGTCAGGAGAGGCCGGCCAGTCCTCGGATAAGGCTATCACACTGGTAACGGCAGCGAGTTGGCACAGGAGGAGGAAACCCTCAAGGAGATGGCCTGACGCTGTGGCTGTAGCCATGACTGAGCGGAGATCTGTGAGGATGGTGCAGGGTCAGGTACGGTTGGACCTGCTGTTCTGTGTGGAGCTGACCGCAGGCTAAACGACACCCAGCCATAGCGAAGTGTGTGCTCACCTTCACGTCTAGTTCTGCTCTGCAAGCCTGAGGTGTACTGCTCTTCAGAATCTCAAAGCACTCTGTCTTCACCAGTTACACCTGCAGGAGAACTGTCTCCTGGTATCACTGTTGCGAGCCACGCTGTAGCTCAAGCAAAAGGACAAAACTGCTGAGTAACAAAATGAGTATTCTTTACTGTGACCATGTACAAGACTAACTTGTGTGGCTTAAATATTCTCAAACACGAACCTAATCCTAAATGGTATTATTCTGACTTTTAATTGAATTCTAAAGACACACAGAAGTCGGAATAAGGACAAGCATCTACAGAGAAAGGATAAGTCCTGAGGGAAAGGTCTGTCCTCGGTGCGGAGAGCTTCCCAGCACTAAGTCATCCCCTCAGAGAGAAGTCCGCAGAGCCAGCAGCTTGTTGGCGAGGGGTGGGGGAAGGTACAAGAGTACAGAATCAACATCTGGGTGAAAGAGAAGGAGGGGGACAGAACGAGCAGTCCCTGGAAGAAGTCCTCTTCAGAGCTGAGATGAAGAAGGATCTGTGTCTTATTCCAAATCTCTCTACAAAATTTCAATTCCTAAGCATTCAGTGAACTGGACTCTGTGAAGAAGAACACAGCATCAAGATTGAACCTGAGTTATGCAGATGACAAAGCCATGCTAGTTGAATAGTGAGGACTTGAGACATTTGCTGCAGATCAAAGAATACAGGCTGCAATATGAATTACATCTGAACAGCAAGAAGACAACAATCCTGACCACTGGACCAATAAGCATCGTGAAGGATGGAAAAAAGACTGAAGTTATCAACTATACCATCTTGAATCAATGACCATCACCCTTAGTACCACTAGTCAAGAAATCAAAAGACATGATTTACAAGAAGTCTGCTGTCAAGGTCCTTTCCAAAATACTAAAGAGCAATGATGTCAGTTTAAAGACTAAGATGTGCCTAATTCAAACCATGGTCTTATTACTCACTCACATGCTGTGTATCTGACAGCTGAACAACGAATAAGGATGACAGAAAAAGACTTGAAGCCTTTGAGCTGTGGTGTTGTAGAAGCATATAGCCTATCTCATGGACTGTCAAAAGAACAGGTATGTCTTGGAAAAGTGGTAGCCAGAGTGCTCCATGGAGGCAAGGATAGCAAAGTTTCAATTCTCATACTGTGGGAATGTTCCTTGGAGCTCGGTGTCCTAGGGCTAAGCTGCGTTGCAATCCCAAAGGCACATGGTTCAAATCTACTTGCTACTCCACACCAAGAATGACAATCTTCTATATGATTTACTGCCTCTAAAAACCCACTAGAAGATAACTGTGAGTTGGTTCCAACTCAATGGTAAACAACAACAACTACAGTAACAACAACAGCAACTCCTTAGAAAGAGACATCATGCTTGGAAAGATAGAAGGTTAGCAAAAAAAAAAAGGGAAAAGCCTGAACAAGACGGATTGCTATGGTGACTGCAGCAATGGGCGCAAGTGTGTCGGAGACTGTGGGATGGCATAGGATAGCACAAGATTCACATCTGTTGTTCATAGGGTTGCTATCAGTTGTATTCAACTCCAAAGCACCCAACAACAACATGCACTCAGTTTAGGCGAAAACAGAAAAGGAAATTCATTGCCAATCACAGGAGCAAATGAAGCGATCTTTATTGTGTAAGTATTATGACATTCTAAGTGAGACAGGTGGCAGCCTCCTATTCTAGAGCTGAGATTAGACTACAGAATTTCTACCTGGTCTGTGTCTAAGTGAGTCACGCCCATCTGAGAAGCAAGTAACAATTATAAACTAAATGTACTAAAATGGAAACTCAACCTCCAGCAAAGATGAATGAAACATCATCACAAACACTGTGAGAAGGAAGTCGAAGTAAAGGTTTCTTGTCTGATTAGTCTACACACTCAGTACCTTGGTATGGTTTTAAAGCAGCCTGTTGTAACACATGTGCCTCCTTACCTTGGTCTCATCAATCAGAAGGGGCATTTCAGGAGCCAACTCACCAATGAGCCGCAGCACAGACGCAATGATGACATCAGGGGTGTAAGTGATGTTCTCGTGTCCCTTCCTGTACTTGATCCATTTGTCCATAACAGGCCATAGCTCCTTGCTGTCAAGTAAACACACATACATTACTTCATGAATGACCAGGGAAGTTCAAAGCAGAATTAAAGACAAGAAAATTTAGCGCATCCCATACACTACCATCTCAAAAAGGTATGATTGTTATCAAACTGTGGCCTTTTCTCTCCAGACAAGCTGAGATGCAGTCATTTCTATTAACACTTAAACAACAGAAGGCTCTCTGAACCACAGCCCAGTAAATGGTCTCCAGCTCACCATGTGGTTCAGCGTTATCCTCAGTGGCTAAGTGGCTAGTCCTGTACCTTATGATGTTGTCATGTGTCCAGACCCACTTCTGATGGCAGCAGAGAAGATCAATGGCAAAAATATATTCCCACGCGTTATCACTCAGGTCTTCACCAAACTTCTCGCTTGACTGGAATTCCATTTTTGGACATAACTGTATTGTCAAAAGGAGCTTGGAGACCATGATGCCAACATCTACAGGAGCATTCTAGCAAGTAAGAAAAGAAAAGAGTTGAAGTTTCAAATATGGTACAATTTATGCCAGTATTCTCGCATGGGAAGAATGGGCTCTTTTCTAAAGCACATCTTCTAAGACAGTGCGGTTTCCTGGTATCTGCAGTCCCCCAGGAGGGAGCTGTGCTGTAGTCCCTAGGAGCTGCACTGCTAGCCCAAAGGCCATGCCTCTGGCAGTCAGAACTCACCGACGGCTCTGGGGGAGAACGATGGGCAACATCCCCCAGTCAGGTTTACAATTTCTGAACCTGCTGGACCATCCGCTAGGGGTCAGTTCCTACTCAAAAGTAACAAGTGACTGAGGAGTCAGCCGCCTGGGACCTGGAACTCAACTCAACCCTTTGCTTTACCTTCCAGCTCACAGACAGACCAGCTCGTAAGGGAGTTAACAGAACAGAAGTGGTTCTCAGTCTTTACAACAAATAATCCAACACACAAGTCAAGGGGCAGAAGGTGCCTAAGGAGGATGCCCAGAAGGTGGGCAGGGTTAGGACAGAAGGTCGAAAGGGGTAAAATAGAAGGATAAATGGAAACAAGAGTCAGCAGGAAGTGTAAAATGTGACGCTCCAATGTGGGGACTGTAAGGAACGCTATAAAGCAAATCATGTCTGAGTGCCTGAATGGAATTCCAATTTACTCTGTACACTTTCACTCAAAACACATAATGTTTTTAAAAAGTTCCATCATTACAGAACGGCGGTTGATGAACCAGATTAAAATAACTATGGACGAATATAGAAAGATATCAGCAGCAAGCCACAAACAAATACACGTTTTCAACTCAACATGGATAATTAAAAATCACAAAATAAATTATCATTTAAAAGAATTCATCCTTTAAAAGAATCTTTTCTATTCCACCATTCTTCTGACACTAGCTGAGTCCTCTACCAAGAGAATTTTGATGCAAAGCTGTAAAACTATTTTCTCAAGTGCCCATATTCCCATCAGCACTGAGTGGAAGTTCCAGCAAGAGAATCACATCCAATATACAGAATATATCAGCAGTCTACCAGACAGCTCAGGGCTGACAAACCTGTGGAGAAATTGAAAAGACCCTGATGGCCTTGTTCTGTATTTCAATGGCCAGCTCCACATGGCACTTCCTGTTTTTCTGCCCTTCATCAGTGAACATGTCTGGAGTCTGCTCTGTTCTATTTCTTAGTAGCATTCCACAGGATGCATCAACCACAGCCTGTTCAAACACTTCCTGGCTGAGAGCTCTTTGAGTTCTCATGAACAAGGCTGATAGGAACACTCCCAAGTCTTAGCACAGACACATATTTCATTCCCTATAGCTAAATGCATTGGGGCAGAATGGCTGAGCTCTCTGCCAAGAGCAAGCTTAATCTGATATAAAGCTGCCCAACTATTTTCTTGAGTGGCCGTGTTCCCATCAGACTGTGTGGAAGTTTCAGTCTAACAATCACACACTTAAAAACCACAGGACATATTAGCATCCACCAGACAGCTTGGGCCTGGCACAAATGGGTTGTAACTTGAAGGTCACAGCAGGCCAGCCTCTGTCTCAGGCATGAACATCCTAAGAGTTATGTTCCAATGCTGATCTGAGTCTGACATTCTCTAGCAGATAATCCACAACAAAATTATGGTCCAGAGGGCAAATGTCCCCCACCCTCCACCCCAAATGTTCACAGGGTTGTTGCAGGAGCTGCACTTCATTGGCAATGAGGATTTTTGGGTAGGAAAGTGAGTGACTTTGCAACCTTTTCACAGCCGTTCTAGCTTCTGGGTTGTTTATTCGCTCTCAGGCAGGTGCAGGATGAAGGAAATCAAGCTCCCGATGGGAATCTGGCATGATTTTTAAGAATGCATTCTGCAGTGACTGGGAACAAAAGATAACCTAAAGAAATGTGCTTTAACCTAAAGATGTGTGCGTTATGTGCTATGAAAGCTTACAAGAATCTGGTCTGTTTCAGTTGTGATTACAGTTTATATTACTTGATACAGGAACTAGATAGTCATAACCAAATTTAAAAAATCAATAAATAAACAAGCACATTGCTGCTGAGCTGACACTGACTCCCAGGAGCCCCGAGGACAGGGCAGTGTCCATGGGTCCCCAGCACCGCCACTGTTACACAGGAAGAGGGACTGCTACATCTGTCTCAGAGTGGCTGCTGCGTGCAAACTGCCATGCAGCTTGTCAGCTGAGTGTCGAACCTCTGCACCCCCAGGACTCCTTGGTTGAGCACAAGAGATCCCAACTGCATAGGTCAGCAAAGCTTGTGTATTTAATACAGGTGATGTTCTACACTCTGACTTCTTATACTCAGAAGTTACTGAAACACTTAGAAACACTATGTTTATTAGATGTGAAGATCTAGTCTGAAGTATTTTTTAAAAAGTGCACTTCAATGTATAAATTTCTTTAAAAATTTAAGATTAAATGTATTTTGTAAATGGCATAATTACTTAATGGGATTTTTAATCTGAAAAGACGCATGAGTTAAAAGAACATTAATAAAAGATCAAGTTAACAAGATGGATATTTTTATGATTTTTACCTTATCAAAAAAATGAAACAAAATTTAAAACTTCAAAGGTTTCTAAAACAGCCCTCATTTTACTATTTCAAATATGCGGTATCAAGTGAAACCACACTGTCACATTCATACGTAGAAGAATACGTAGAAGAATGTGAATAACTTCATTGGAAAATTCTCACAAGAAGGCAGCTCACAGGAGACAACCAAGCACAAAGGGAGGGCTTCATGCTCATGACTTCAGAAGGGAAGGCTGCCCAAGTCCTGATTTCAACGTGAAAGCACTGAACCAACAGCCATTGAGGACAATGGACACTACTGAGTCTTGTTAACCAACAGTTATGTTTAAAAATTGTCCTTTTTCAAAAGTATCAGGAATTTCTTTCATATATGACACTAATTTTTAACTCTGAAATATCTTTATATAGTCAGTAAAGCACAAGCTGACATTCCTCTGGTATTTTCTGCCTTCAGCCAGGGTCCACCTGACATGATATACCTGATGCCATGACCTCTTCTAAACCCAGAACATCTGGTAGCTCTTTCTCTCCATGTACCATTCCAGCAGTTTTTGGATGATCTTCAGTAACAACCTGAATCATCCAGATGATACAACCTTGCTAACAGAAAGTGAGGACTTGAAACATTTAATGCAGAAGATCAAACACTACAGCCTTCAATATGAATTACATCTCAACATCAAGAAAACTAACATTCTCAGGACAGGATGGACAGGCAACCTTATAATAGATAAAAAACTGAAATTATCAATGATTTTCTCTTTCTTGGTGTCAGAATCATCACGTGTGGTACCAGCAGTCAGGAGATCAAGAGACATATTGCATTGGGAAAGTCTTTAGTCAGAACTTCTCTAAATTAATGAAGAGCAATGATGTCAGTTTTGGACTAAGGCGCATCTGATTCAGGCCACAGACTATGAATAAGGATGACAGAAGGAATGATGTCTTTGAGCTGTAATGTTGGAAAAGAGTACTGAAGAAATAGGCTGCCAAAAAGAGCACACCTTCTCGGAGAAGGTGCAGCCAGAGTACTCCCTGGGAGGCAAGGATGACAAAGCTTTGTCTCAATCTCTGAGCATGTCACCAGGACAGGCTATTCCTTGGAAAGGAGGAGGGCTGGACAAAGAGGATGATCCTCAGCAAGGTGGACACAGTGCTGCCACGGGCTCTAGCGTGTTAACAGATGAGGAGGATGTCACAAAACAGAAAGGGGTTCCATCTACTTTTCGTGGGTCACTAAGAGAGGTTCACAACTAGATGGCATCTAACATCAACAGTGTCTGAAAGGTCAGCTGTTTGAATCCACCAGCAGCTCCAAGGGAGAAAGACAAGCAGTGTCATCCAATATTTACAGACTGAAAAATCCAGTAGAGGATACTGGGAATCCGAATCACCAGCACCAGGTTTGGGTTTTGGGTTGTTGTGGGTTTCAAAAAAAAAAAAAAATTTGATCTTTGTTCTACAATCATTGATATACATTGTGTTCCATTTATATAAAGTATTTTATAGAATCCTTCATATACACTGTGCATAATTACTATTGATCTATGCCCATTCTCACCTATCTCTTTAACTTCCCATCAAATCTTTCCTATTCCTTCCCCTTCCCCTTCGCCCACTAACCTCTGATAACCCAGTGACTTCCCCAGCCCCCTTCTTAGGTTTGGGTTTTTTACATAAAGAATTTTCCTTCTAATTGATTTCTAAAATGCTGTGGTTTTCTATTTGAAATTTCTATTGGTCCCCAATTTTTCAGAAAACTAAGTTGTTGGGCAGAATATTAAATGATCCAGGAAGTATTAAAAGAAGATGGAAGGAATATACAGAGTCATTATATAGAAAGGAATTGGCAGATACAGAGGAAT